GCCGGTGGAGCAGGGCCAACAACGACACGACGCGAAAGCGGTAGGCGACGCAGCGGGCAAGCCAGAGATCACGACCGTGACTAGCTGTAGCGCATTGACGCGACGCAATGTAAGCGCGAACAACGACACGACGACGACGAATTGGTCGGTGGCGCAGCGATGTAGGCGGGCATGACGCTGGCGATGAGAGTGCATGCGGCTACCAATACCGCCAGCGAGGGCTAGCGGTGCGCGAGGACCCCATGAGGCGGAATACCATGGTGAAAGCGAAACGGATGGGCCCGCCGGTCTTGCGGTGGCATGCGTCGCGGCGTGCGTCGGCGTGTCGAAGCGAACCAACAGAGTAGCATCTTTGAGCCGAGGCAACAGTGACCATGACCATCTGGCGACATCAGCCAAAACGTGCCATGCACGGTTTTTAAAGCATCCCAAACATCCAACTCAATGATCCGATTGCTAAGCCACCTATTTTACGCTCGAGATGGTATATCAAGCTACTAAAACCAACCATGAAATTACACTACTTCTTAATCCAATTTGCCTACAAAAATTCCCAAACCTAGCTTCGTCAAAGCGTCGTCCAACTTAGGAATTTCGACTAAGTCTCAAACGGTTACGCGTCGAATTCCATTTCCAAGCTATTAAGTAAGCTAGCTACTGAATCCCATCCTCGACCGCACGTATTTCACAGTCACCTACGAAGTTCATGCTACAAACTGTACTAAAGTTTTGCATATGCGTTCTATAACATTTTTGTTCAATAAAAATTCGTTTAGAACCCTAAGTGATAAAACACGACATGAAATATAACATTCGTTTCGTGTTTCCGATGAACGTTTCAAGTTCCGTATATTGCTTTACACCCTATATTACACACATTTACATATAAGTATGATGCTCATGCAGTGTTTTAGCAAAAAACTTTACAGTGTAACACCGAGGGTGTTACATAGATTGTAGCCGCTGTCGGAGACCTATGGAGCTGCGACGGAGAGCTGCATGGAGGTCTGTGGTGGTGGCGGGGTGGTGGTGTCACGTCTGTGGCTGGCACATCCACCGGAGGAGATGCAGGACCCATGAAGACGATGGGCGAGGTCTTCCTGCTTCTACGCCGTAGTGCTACGGCGGAGATGGAGGACTGCAATAGCAGGTAATGTGTGCGCGTCCCCTGTTATCAGTTTGAGCACATAGTGTAGTTGACTTGTGCTTGCCTATTTACACTTCGATTTGGGACTCGATTTGATTGTTGGTAGGAATGGTATGTTCGTGGTAGAGGTTAAAGTCCATGGTTTCGCTACAAAAGACTCAGATGGTAGGAAATCATACACTAAAGGCACTGTGATTAAGTGGGATGTGGAGTTTGGGTCTTTAACGCTTGAACTGTTGGTGTCAAGTATTGCAAATGAATTGAATGTGCCCTCTAACCAGTTACCCATAGTGTGGTTCTTTGATAAAGAGGCTGCATGAGGATGTCAAATTAATTAGTGAAATTTAGATGGTTGATGTCTTTGAAATGTACAAAGAAGAGATAGGCTGTCAGCTTGTAGTGGGATTGTTTGATAATGATGCTGAGTTTGATGACCTACAGCCTTTGTGTGCAATTCCTCTTTGAGGTTAGATTTGAGATACCCAACAATGATTTTTTCATTGACGATGAACCAAATAGTGCTGCTACTAACAATCTAGAGGATCCTGAACCTAGTACTGCTGTCGCTAATAATCTAGAGGCAGCTACTGATTTAGAGCTTAAACAAGGTGATGATGTTGATGTAAAGCCTAAGAGGGAGCCTGATGTCTTTGATAATCCTGAAGAATATGTTGGAGTTGATGATGAACAAATCTATATTTCAGTTGCTAATGCACAGCCAGTTAACAATACTTATGATTCTGTTGATGCTCACCCATCTGATGAAAATGCTTTTGTTGTTGATGATGCAGACCCTCTTGAGGTGCATGTACTCCATGATCCTTGGAATCCAAACATAGTGAAGGGGGCACATTTTCCTGATATCATTGCATTCAGGAAAGCAATTAGGCATCATGCAGTGAAGACTGGTTTTGAGTTTGCTAGGCTCAAAATAGATAAGACCAGGTTCTTAGCTCACTGTGCTGCAGAGGGTTGTCCGTGGCACATACATGCATCCACTATTTATGATAAAAAACAATAAAGGTAATGTGTTGAACTGCTGTTGTTTATGACCTATTTGTGACCTTTTTGACATGCTAACGACCTGTTTGACATGTTTGTGCAGGTAAAAGTGCTTCTTGCACAGCACAATTGTCCTACCACCAAGCTTTGAGAAGGAAAGATGGCAAGTCAGGGTTAGTCTATAGACAGGCTAGCAGACTGGGTGAAAAAGAATCAAATAAGGGCCCAACGGATGCCAAAAACAAATTGGAGGGTGACTATGGAATTAAGTTGAAGTACTCCAAAGCTTGATCAGGTTTGCAGGTTACTCTAGACCAGATTCATGGGTCTTATGAGGAAAGTTTTCAACTTTTATTCAATTGGACTGCACAGATTGAAATAAGTTCTCCTGGTAGCATTGTAGAAATAGAATTAGAGACAGTAGGTGAACAGAAAAGGTTTAGAAGGATATTTGTTGCTCTGAAGCCATGCATTGATGGATTCTTAGCTGGTTGCAGACCATTTATTGGTTTAGATGCTTCTAGTCTGAATGGGAGGTATCTTGGGCAGTTGGTTTCAGCTACTGAGGTTGATGGCCATAATTGGTTGTACCATATTGCCTATGGTGTTTTTGACATAGAGACTGAAGATAACTGAAAGTGGTTCATACAGAATTTGCACAGAGCTATGGGGGACCCTCCAGGATTGGTGGTTTGTTCAAATGCTTGTAAAGGCCTAGAAAAAGTTGTGGGAGCTATCTTTCCACATGCTGAGAATAGGGAGTGCATGAGGCACTGTACCAAAATTTCATGAAGCACTACTCAGGTGATGTGTTCACTGACCATCTGTATCCTGCTGCAAGGAGCTACACAGAAGGCATGTTCAGGTGGCACATGAAGAAATTTTTTGAGTTTGCTCCTGATGCAATTGAGTACCTTAAGGAAGACCATTCTAGGATTTGGTACAGATGTGCCTTCTCAGAGCTTAGCAAGTGTGATTAACTAACTAACAATGTGGAAGAGAGTTTCAATGCACAGATTAAAAAGCTGAAGGGACTTCACCTCCATGAGTTGGTTGACATGCCGAGCGAGCTCATAATGGAGAAGAGGTACATTAGGAAAAAGATTGCAAGGCAGTGAGAGGATGGCATCCTCCCAGGTGTAGTCAAGGATCTCAATGCCATTAGCAAAAATTTGAAAGTAGTCAAGGTTGCAGCCTGTGATGATGGCATTGCAGAGGTCACAATATTAGATGACTAGAACAACAAAAAAAAGGCACATAGTGGATCTTGAAAACCACAAGTGCTCCTGCAGAGAATGGCAAATAACTGGTAAGTCTTGCAAGCACGCCCTGACATGGATTTGCTCTAACAGAGGAGTCCAAATCTATGACTATGTCCATGAGTATTACTCTGTTGCAAAGTTTAGAGCTGCATATGAACAGAGAGTGGAACCTATGCCAGACAGGTCGAGTGGCCTCATTTTGAGCTAGGATTTAAAGTTTTCCCACCATTACTTGGAAGAAGACCAGGCAGGCCTAAAGTAGTAAGATAAGAGGTTGCTTGGAAAAAAACAGTACAAAGAAGAAAGTGAAATGTCACAGGTATGGAGGTTTTGGACACTTTGCCAAGACATGCAAGGAACCTGAGATGGGACCGGATAGCCAGCCTACTGCTGCTCTAAATAAAAGGTAGAAAATAAGTACATAAAAATAATTTTGATCTGTTCACTACATACTGGTATGAAAAATAAATAATTTTAAACTTATTTTGTAGGAAGATGCCAGTTGAAGAAGAAGCTGGACCATCTCAAGTAAACAAGAAGAAGAAGGCACCTAAGAAAAATAAGACACCTAAGAAGAAGAAGACACCAGTTAAGAATAAATTAAAGAAAAATGCAGTAGCTCCACCTGCATAGGTTGTTAGAAGCCTGTTTGATATGATAAATGATGGGCAGTAATGAAGCTACAGCTTATTTTATGTGTAATGGCAAATGGCCTTCACGTCCTGTGAACCTAATATGTAATGGCCGTAATCCACCTGCAGCTTATTTTATGACTTAGGATATGTGGCCTATATGGCCCGGGAACCTGAACCTGTTATGTGATGGCCTAAATGGCAACTTGGTTGTGTGAATGGCCTATATGGCCTTTGAACCTGAACGTGATCTGTAATGGACTAAATGGCATTTGAACCTGCAGTTTGTGAACTTGGCTGTGTCAATGAAGTTGCAGATTTGGTCTTTTTTTTCTTATTTTTTTTCTTAACTTGTGATGGCCTAAATGGCATATACATGGTACATGTGTTGTATTTCAAGTTCAGATGGCCTATATGGGATATATTTGTGTTACATTCTTATTGCCTTGACTAGTGATGGCTTTAATGGCATACATATGATACATGTGTTCTGGGAACAATTCCTGGAACAGTTCTGTATATTTCAGATGGCCTATATGGCATAACACAATTCTGGAACATTCATTCATTCAATCAGAACCATACATTCATTCAATTCGATTCTGGGAACATACAGGGCACACACACATATTGCTTCCTAAAAGAAACTGGTACAGTCTGATCACTTCCACATTCCAGCGATAATCCACTGTTTGTTTCAGCTGTTCACTTCTACATACCAGCAACAACCACACCAATCATGACACCTACAAAGCCTATATAGACAATGGCTAAAAAGAAGAATCAAGCACAATCTGCATGTTCTTGTTGCCGACTTTAGGCTTCACCGCAGCATCACCTCAACATGTAGCATCTTTATTTTCCAAACCTCTCCTACAACACTATCCAAAGTGTTTGCTTCACTAGTTCCAATTCTTCCTTCAAATCGGCGCAACAAAACACCAGCTGTATCCTTCACTACTTTGCACCCTCCGTTCCTCGTGCTTCAAAGGCCATATACTCCTTCTCGGAGAAGCGGATGTATGGGCAGGTACTATCATCATCCTGCAATCGAAACAAAGGGCATAAATCAGAGATGAATCAACACACAGCGAGCACAACAATGTCAAAAATCATAACCTTGATGTTGTACGGGCACTTGAGGTACCACTCGCCCTTTGTCGCCGGTTGCTTGCTCTGGATGCGGACCAAAGCAACATGGCAAAAGGGGCACTCCCTTCTACCGCTGGCCGTCGAGCTCGAGCCATTGGAAGTTGCCTTCATGGTGCTGCGACTCCACTTCCCGGACATGGCTTCAAAGTTGGGCGCCGCCATCGAACCGAGCCTCCAGAGCACCAGATGCTGCAGATCTCAGGTGGTCGTGCCAAACTGCTCCGCCGTGGGCTGCGACGTCGACTCAGGCAGGGGGATGGACGTTGGCTAGATTCTAGGGTTAGGGTTCTTGGAGGAGGGGAACGAAGAAGGATGAGTGCGGGTGGGGAACGGAGTCGGACGGGAGACGAAGACCGAGAGGGCCACGGCGGCTTCTAACGCTAACAGGCAGGGGCATGGGTGTCCATAGGAAAGTCATGTATGCCTTCCTCGACCTGACAGTGGGCCCGAGCTATTCACATACGTAGAAAATGGCAAGCACCAGCAACACCAGAATTGTAATGACATATTTCAGAATAACCGAATTATAATGTCATTCCTCCAACTTCGAAGAATTGTAATGGCTTCGATCAAAAAAAAACCCTAGAAATACGCTTCTTCCTCAATGTTTTTCATTTCATTCATGGACTTTGCGTACACCGCCCTCCAATATTAGGTGTGCGAATAAATTTCACTTTGCACACTGTTATACGTGTTGTCGTACGTATACGTATGACGTGTACCCAGAAACACTTGAACAAGTAACCCTTTTTGCTGAAGCTAATTTACTGAATTGTTACAACTGACAGCATGTTACAACCGGGCAGGAAACAGAAAATTTGTTCACTCTTGACGCTACACCGTAGGGAGGAACAAAAAGAAGACTACAGCTCTGATCAATATAAAGCATCTAGTTCTTTTATTTTGGCTAATTACAGAAGGTCGACGTTGATCTGTCACCCCTTTTTCTGTTTCATATCTCATATTTACACAATCGTGGAATCTCCCTACAACCTACAAAAATTGCGATTCCATGGATCCTTTCGGTGGTACTGGCTTCCCACCGTGTACAGAAACCTCCTTCTGCAGTAATGTTATTGAATCCTTTCTACTATTACCTGACCTTTACACACAACAAGGAAAAAGAAGAACCGTTTCTGACGTATGTGCACAAAGGTAATGCGGTCTTCCTGGAAAAGCAATGGAAAGATCTCTGAGCCGCCAACACCTCAGCCCTCAGGTCAAGCAAAATAGATAGACAAATCAGTGGCATGATCTTCCTTCGGATGACGACACCGAAGGGGACCATGAGTAGAGTAGTGCATTTCTCACGAATCAGCTATCCTAGTAACTGATGTTACCACTGCATTGCAGAAGAAGCACCTCTGGTTGTTCAGGAGATGCCTGCTTATGCAGCCAAAACAGGACCGGTGATGGCATGGCTGGAATGTTGCATCAGAATCACAGTTGTAGCAAATGCAACAGGTGTCATCTGCTTCTTCATCACCCATGTTAATGCTATGGTCTTTTTCATCATCCACAGACACTGTAATGCGTCGGAAGTAATGGGAGAACTCTTCAAGCTGTGCTAGCTTTGCAAGGGAGGAATCCCCTCGAAGAACATTGCTCTACAGAAATACATAAATAATGGAACACTGTGTCAACAAAATAGAAAAGAAAATAACATAAAAACTAAAAATCAAACAGATCAAGGAAATAAGATACAAAATATAGAATGAGAAAGAAAACAAACCCAGTTGTAGCTCAGTAGGTACTGCAGCCCAAAATGGATTGTGGCAGGGCAATCCATGCTTGCAAACACTGCAATCACATCATTTAGCTCCCTTTGTTCTGATGTGCTGCTACATTCCATAAGACTGAGGATAATGCCGACAAGAGGAGCCAAGATCATAGTACGATTTGTTTTCTCTTGATGCTGCCCTGGCCGTCTTAGTGTCCTGCATCCACAAGCTTCCTACTGGTTAAAAAAAAGGCCCACCTACTTTCTTGTTGCATAAGCAAGAGAATTCCTATATGTACCATAAAACATAAAAATAGACCTACCAAGATGGAAGCATAATTAATTGACTCAGAATCAGCTTCAATTAATAAGCTCAAAGGAATCGCGGTAGCAATTTATTTAGGTAATGAACACAATGTAGCTTTCAAAGATTGTACACCAAGCAGACTTTCAGTAAGAACATTCTACCTCTGAAAAAAAATCAGAAACTAAGATTAAGATGTTTACTTACATGTCAAAGAACTCTGCATCAGCTGCTGATATGATGTGGTTGAGAATAAAGACAACTAATTCAGTCAACCTCCGCAAATTCATATCTGGTCCCATGAGAAATGCACAAGGAATCTCTCGGGTACAGAATTCCAAGATTCTCGCAAGACAACATGATATATCAAAAATTACACTGCACTTTCTCTGCTGCAAATCAGCAACCTGAAAATAACAGATGGTTGATCATATTTTTCATAATTGCAGGGTCACACCAGAGGAACAAAGGAACACATTGGTACTCTCATGATAAATTGTATTGGAATAACTGGAGCAACCAAATCCCACAACGATTATATTAACTATATTTTATTACTATACAGCTGCATCATAGAGAAGAGGTTAAAGGATATGACTCCTGCAGGCTACGACCAACCAGCACACAGGTATAAAAAAAAAGATAGTCCACCTGGTTTTTATCTTGCATCTCCCGGATGGACATAGAGAACTCGGTCATTGTCCAGCTGAGTGTATTGAAAAGTCGATTGAGGAAGGAAAAGAACAGCTCTTGTTCATGAATACATGTCTCCCTCAGTAGAACCTTCGGAGGAAACCAGATGATCAAAATATTAGTTTGCATAACAATCAAATTGAACAAAAATAGGAGCGAATTAAATCAAAAGTAACAATATTTAAAAATACCTGAAAAGTTGCAGATGATGAGGATTCGCCATTCTTAGAGGAAGCAAATCCTGAGCCTTTGCAGAACCGGGAAAGTATGTTCGTAACAGGAATCCATGATCTGTTGTTAAAAGCTGATAAAAGTGATCTAGGCATCTTATTTATAGCCTCCCGATTGTTTTCGAAAACAAGCATGAATTCTTTGTATTGTACAAGGACTGATATGGATTGAAGAAGAAGATCTTTCAAGTCAGGATTCACTATCCTTGTATCATCGAAGTGCTTGACAACCAGAGTGACCTATTATTGATAAAACAGAACCCTTAGATAACTTTGAAGCACTCAAAGAGTATGCTGAAACCTATCAAGAAATTAATCATGATTTGGTTCAACCGAACTATATAATTTAAAGTTTAAAATAGGCTGTTTATCTCTATAAGCTAAAAGACCTGAACTATAGCTACTATTAACTGCAAACCTTCAATAATTAATACTATTAATGTCAAGAATAAAGGTGCAATTAGGTTTCAAAGAAAAAATAATGAACTAAGAAGCATCAAGATGATTCAGTACATACAAATGGGGCCAGCCCTTGCATGAGAAATAATGCAGGGGAAACAAAAGGAGGATCGCTCCTTCGCAGTGCATGGAAACAATCCACCTGCAAAGGTAATAAGAAGAAAACTCTCTTGGGTAAATAGATTCATTGTGAATGAAGAAAAAACAACGCCAAAGGAAACAATAAACCTACCAGTGATTCCACATAGAACTCAGGAACATAGTGGAAAATGTTATTTGAGTTACTAAGGACCAAAAGAAGCTCCACGACCCACATGCAAGTTGCGTACATTCCCCTTTGCTTCCACTGGGAGAAAAGGGCGGCCCGGTACCTGAATGCACCATAAGAAAAAAAAACGGCAGATTAACTCGGCGGCCTAAAAAACTATCATAGCGCTACTTGGATATCCATACCATAGAAATCAAAAGAACATAAATCAATGAACATCTCCATAAGTCATTTAGCTGCAAGGAATCTCTAAACTTGAAGGGAATGCTTTCCATCTGTCTCTAGTACCACTAACCAGTTGAATCTATTGTGAATAAGTTAATATGAACATCCCAGATCAAAACTAAATCCGAAAATCATGTCTGCAGCACAGTTCTAAACATTGCTAGCAAATGCGAAAAAAATTATCATTTGCCCATGGTAGTAAGAAAGTACAGAAGATTTATCATTTCAGAAAATCATACCAAACACAATGGCGTACACAATCCACCAAATCCTCATGATAGCTATTCGGGCTTCTTTCAAACGCCTTACTTGCTCTGAGCATGATTTTTCTCGTATCTGCCTGTCAGTTTCTTCTAGTAAAGAAATGGACTCGACTGCTGAGACATGAAATAAAAAGCCTGTACAGAACTAACTTAAATCAGTGCTATCATTTGAATTAAAATCAACATATACTAATATCCTAGTAAACTGAGTATCAATGGATAATGAATGTATCGTTGACTCACTAGGGTCGTGTGGTCCATTTTATGTCAATGGATGGCAAAGTCAATGAACAAGTAAATACTGCCCATTTGCAAAAACACAAGGCGTATTTATTTTGGGAAACTTCGTCTGTTCTGACCAATACTTAGTCAACCTATAAGAATTTTTGATAGTGCATAAAATTACACAACCAGATATACTATGAAATTCTTTCAAAACATATTGGTTTTGTTGATAAAATAATATATACTGTGAGAAAACAATGGTAAGAGATTAACTTTGAAGAGTAGGTCAAAATATGCCTTGTATTCTTGGATGGATTTCTTTATAGTTACATGAGGACACAATGTTCAATAGTTCACCACAAAGTGAAGTCATCTAGAAAAAAATCCAGGTGTTGGCCGATGAACATGGCACATATTTTCAAGAAAATTCCCTCACTGCCACTCAAATCTATAACTATCCCTTCATTGCCATCCAAAATTATAAGTTCTCGCTGCCATCCATTTAGAATTTTTTATCCCTTCATTGCCATTGCCGTTGCATGGACGTACCTTATTCCCCGAGCTGCCATCCATATAGATAATTTGTTCCCCTCAATGCCATTGAGGTAACGGAATGGCGTTTTCACAGTCGCCACGGTGTTGCAGGAGATCACAGCGTCTGCCAAGGTGACGCCGCCGCTGATTGGCGTAGGCAGCTGTCGAGGCAAGGAGAAGCGCAATAGGGGCAGGCCCCGTGATGGGACGGATGATGCAGGGGGGCTAAGCCCCAACCACGTCTCATGGATGGACGGCGAGCTGCTGCGAGCGGTGCAGATGGAGCAGGAGAAAAAGGTCATGGCCGCTGCCTAAGACAGCCGCACCAACCATGTCAGGCCCCCAGAAGCCACGGTGCATGGACACATCACGCTCATCGAGGCGCACGCCGTAGCCCTTGAAGATGGCGTGCGCCAGGTAGCAGTCTCGTACATGGCACAATGACGTTCCGTTCCCTCCATGACATTGAAGGGAACAAATTATCTATATGGATGGCAGCTAAGGGAACAAGATCTATTTAAGCAATGGTAATGGCAATGAGGGGATCAAAAATTCTAAATTGATGGCAGTGAAGGGAACCTATAACTTTCGATGGCAAATTGGCAATGAAGGGGTGGTTATAGAAGTCAAAGGCAACGAAGGATTTTCTCCAGGCAAAATGCATGCATGTACAAACTTGTACACCTAAGGTGATTGGATACATGCAGTTTGTAGGTGACTGAACATACACAGAACTAAGACAACTTATTCCGTGGCAAGTTGGGAACAGGTCATGAATACTCCACTGAAACAAAGATATGAATCCTTCCTGCAACATATATGTGTTTGTATGCTTAAAAAAATATCACTTGCCTGCCTAAAATTTGGTGAGATGCCCAGATGGTATAACAACAACATAACATCAAGCAGCTCTTCTTCTTTAAGTGCTTCCGACGAAGATTGAGTTGCCATTGGCATGTTTTCAAGACTATGCAGTGCTTGGTATCCATATTCAATTTCTTCTTGAGCACTAGAGCTAGGTTTGTCTTCGATCTCATCACTCAGACCTCTACCATTGCACTCAGCAGCTACATGAGCAGACCTTTCAGGCATAGGCTTACATGGGCCTTTTGAAGTTGATGGCACATACTTAGCAGTTTCTTTGTATCTTAGGCCAACAGCAACATCTGTCACTGAGCAGCAACAAGGCTTCTGTACTGTAGTGTGTGTAACACGTGTCTCTTCATCATTCATGCAGCCTTCATCCCATTGTACTTCATTTTCCACAGCATCAAATTGGTGATGCATCAAAATACTTGGTGGTCCACCGATTCTAGGAATTACACTGTAATAGGCATCATTCCTAAAAAGCAATTGTGTTGGAAACTTGCGCTTTCCACCTTTGTGAAGAAATCCAACACCATTCCCACAGTTCGCTTTAGAGGATGGACTTAGATCCAGCAGAATCCATAGAAAATCCTTCAGACAACAAATGTAGGATTACTGTGTACAATGAAACAAGCACAGTGTTGTTGAAAGTCCCATTGACAACCATCCTATGATCACCACCTCTAGCTTTCAGCACCAAACTTTGTACAAAGGACCTAAATACAGAGCCTGGAGGCTGAGGCGGAGACATTGGTGGAATAAAGCATATTACCAAGCTGCAAAGCTCACGATGCATCTCCTCAATCTGCAAAGAAAAATAGCAGCCTGTGAGTATATGACAAGACAGAAGGGAGGGAGAGAGCTTTAGATATCTAGAATCAATAGTGTGCTAAAGTATTCTATTAAGCAAATGACAAAGTTAAATTGCAGGCCAACTGACTTGACAAAAAATCGTGCCTTATCAACCTCATTATGGGTGCCATGCACTAATGCCTTGCAAGGACATAGGCAAAGGGTATTGAAAGGTCAACCCCAAAAGCAGAAAGCATGAGAATCAGGCAACATACAAGTATAGAAAATAAAAGGTAGCAGAACGCATAAGTTCACTAATGCAATAATATCCAATCACAGCAGTGCAGTTTACTAAGAGAAATGAAGAACTCTAAACTAGGTCAACTACAAACACCATGCTAGTCAAACTATCGAATGGTGTAGGCATGTAGCATTGATGTCCACATGTCAAGTGCAACCAAATAATTGGAGAACATGATTCAAGTGAGCGTGAATATAGATCATCAACCTGAAACATTATTCGATGGTAGGATAGAGGATAAGTTCACAGAACAGTAAAAACTGGAGCTTCTTGTTGCTGTGGCAACATTATGTAAGAAGTGAACAGGAAGAAATGAAAACATGCTTCTTCTCTGTGCAAAACTCTTGCTGCTGTGTTAACATCATGTAAGAAATCAATAGGATGAAACAAATACATACTTATTCTTTGTGCAACACAGAATTCCTAGTTATCAGGAGAAGAAATGACTGCTTACAGCAAAATCTGCCGAGATGAAAGGAATTTACCTTTTTTATTGCATCTGAGAGTGTTGTCATCGTCAGTGTCATGCTAACTTCATCCTCAGAAGACCCAGGCCACCAAACAGATGGTACAAGGCACTGTAAATCCTGCTTATTTGGAATCTTCCTTGTAAGGAACCCTTCAAACGAGAAAGCGAAATCTTCTGCTTTCCACCATAAACACATTACATCTTTATGCCTCAGAAGGTGGCAAACCAGCACTAAAAATGGATATGACCCAGAATACGGGCATTCTGTCAACACAAGTGGTGCAGCTTTGCACATGCAAGAAAGAGCCACAATGAGCTCCTGAAATAATGAAGTGCAGCCTGGGAACCGGAGGAAAAGGTCAAGAACCTGATCAAGGCATGAGAAATCATGTGGCTCACGAGTCCTGAAAACATCTAAGAGTAGAGTGGTCAATGAGCCCCAGGCAATATACTCAAGGCACCCCTGGCTCACTTCAATAGCACTGAAAAGTTCTGCACATATCCCTTCTGAAATTGGTCGAAAGAGTTCTTGCAGTGGTGCGAATTTTTTGACCCTCCTCAGTTTCTCAAAGTATGCTGATTCAGATTTCTCCAGGTTGTGAACTTCTAGCAATCGGAACAGACATCTAAGAAGATATGTCACAAACGACCAAGAGCGTGGTGGCGCCTCCAATGGATCAAACCCATCAACAGGATACCTGAGTGGATGTGAGCCAAAGTTCAGATAACAGCGCTCTCCTTCCGAGAGGGAGATTGCAGCATAATATCCCTTCTTAGGTTTCACATTGCGAATTCCATCAAAAGCAACACCAAGAGAAGTCCCATTCCTGTAAAAGGAGATTTCTCCTGCATCCAAGTTGATGCAGCAACCGATCACGTCACCTACTGCCCATGGCTGGCCATATGGCTTTGGGTCATTGTTCCACTTAGTCACCCTCCGGCCATCAAAGGAATATGAATCATCAGCATCACCAACACCTTTCTGATCAGTAAAAGGGCAAGAGAGAGTAGCCCATCCAAGCTGCTGAACTCCAGATGTCTCCAGGGTCACCTCATACATCCATTTTCCTTTCCACACACAGGCATTAGCCCTGGCACTGCTGAACGGGGCGGAGCTCTCAACAAGTAAAGGTCCCCTGACATTCCTGAAGCTACCGCAAATGCTCGAATCATCAAGAACCACCTTGCTCTGCCCAGCACCTTTGTCCACAATCAAGACGCTGCCATGGTATCCACGGATGCATTTTTCCCAGTCAATATCAAATTTTCTAGCTTGATTCCTCAACACTGAGAGCACGAAGCCCGTGTCAATTGGTCCAGGAGGCCGGACCACTGACCTGTGAGGGAGATCAAAGATGTGCTCTATCGTCCTCTCAACAGCCTGGTGCCCAATTTCATCATGATAGGACACCAAGTGCGACTTCTGGTGGCTAATCTTAGCTTCGTCACCAGACAATAACACAGCCAGCCCAGGGGGAGAATGCACTCCTCCTATGGCTACTGCTTCCTTCCGCCATCAAGCTCAAGGGTGGCCTTAACGTGGAGCATCTGATTCAGTTGAACCCCATGCACGACGGAGAAAAGGAAGGATTGATCTTGCACGACGGAGAAAAGGAAAAACCTGATCAAACCATGGATGGATGGGTTAGACTAGAGTGACTAAACTGGATGTGCTATATTAAATTATCAAGCTACTGAGCAACAAACAAGACGAAGAGATTTGGGCCCTGTTTGGAACCACTTGTATGACAATTTTAATCTGATCAAAATTTAATAAGAAGCTGCGGTCTAAAGAATCTATTGTCTGAAAAAATCTGGGTGTTTGGCAATCCTGATTATTGCGTATAGATTTTCTGTATTCAGTGTAAAATGACTTGTATGCCTCGTAGGTTAAGAGTAGCTCATTTGTTGACTGAATACAAGCTGAAATCAATAATAATAATTTAGTTTGTTACAATAATAAAATCATCAATCAAATGGACAAAAAATGGAGCATTTCATTCTCTAAATTTTAAAGAAATCGAGATGGATACAACAATTAATCACTCATAGTGTGGCCAATTCAATTTTTCACCCAACAATTAATCTCATGTTCTCTACAAAATGTATAACCGACCAATTTGAAGCATGGATCTGGATGAGCCTGACAATAGAAGAGAGCACCAAATTCAATTTTCACGGCACAAATATGATCATACTCTTGTCTTGTGATGAGGATCACCAATCAAAGTAGCCTTTCCCCCATCTGTTTAGGCCACAGGAATTCACCACACGCATGGCAGATTGGGAGCAGCAGCGCAGGAAGCCGTCTGACGGACCAAGCACGGTGGTGATGGATCTAACGGGGCCGCGGCGTGGGGGACGGGCCAACGAACTGGGGAGGCGGGGAGCGGCGCAGCGATGCACGGCAGGGCGGAGAGGAGGGGTGAGCGGGGGAGGGGCGACGGGAGGAATAAAGCTCGCTGTGGAGGAAACGCGGGCGTGAGCTCGCGGTACAGAGAACGCGGACTACTACTGATTAATCGAGAAATAATCTACGCGTTTGGGTGGGATTTTCGCTTATTTTCATCTAGAATCTGATTAAACAGAAACAAACAGGATCAGCAAAACAGATTACTTACTGGCAAGAGATCGGTCAAGGAATCTCCACGCCACGCAACGCCACTTCAACATAATAAGAGGATGGAACGAGGACGTCGGCGCAGCCTTTCCATCGCCGACCGTGATGTCCCTGCTGATGCACACTGATTGGGGAGGCGGCAGAACAGGGGAAGGGTGAGAGAGGCGAAACTCTCAATTGAGAGGTCCCCGATATGAACGGGCTCTCCTGTTGACCTGTTGCCGGCGATAGTCGGCGGTGATGGCGCGAAGGTTGGGAGCAGCTAGGGTTTCACCTTGGAGAAGTCACGAGGAAGACGACGCGATAGAGAAAGAGAACAAAAAAAAAATTGAGACTATTTTTCAGATTAGACCTTTCCTTTCACGGAAAATACGGTTCTATTGTGGGCATGCTGCCTGCATACTCTGTATATACGGTTCTAAATTGTCCTATTCTGCTGTACTATTTCCGTAATCTTGTGATGAAAGTGGGGGAAATCCTCGGTTCTACAAAATGCTGCCTGTATGCAACTCAACTCTTCCTTTTTTTTTTCTCCGAGAGTGAATTTCTCTTTGCATGTCTCTATACGTGTGGCTTTTACTTGATTTTTCGACACTCGCCTAGTGCTGAGATAAGAGGATATTGACTTTTATCTCTTTTTTTTGCATCCAAAAGTAAAGTATTTATATACGTTGATGTTTTTTTTCTTTCATACTTAATTGTAAAATTAGCCTTTCGTTGGCTTTAAGTGTTAGGGCCAACTGTTCGAGCAAGTCCATTAAGTTTATTTAGTTACTAGCAAACAATTCATATGTACAGTCAACTTTGCCAAAATTCATTAGGCAGTGTAGGATGTCATCCTTAATCATTTACTATTATCTTCCTGAATTACTGGCACAAGAATTACAAGGATACCATTTGTCAAAGTTGCTTATATCAAGAAATAGACAAAAATAATTGAATAAGAAAGTAACATTTTTTAGCATGTGCATTTGATCTATCTATCATTATTTCTCCTATCATTGCTGTGTTACTGAAACTGTTGTTGCAAAGATACAACATGGGTCATCTCTTTGCTAAAAAGATGACTATGTCTTTCTAAATATGTGCAAGACCCAATTAAATAACTCGAGGGAAAACAGAAAAAATCTAATATGTTGTATTAGAGATATCATGTAATAAACAAAACCATTATGCAAATTCTTACATGGAGATTGGTAGGCGATTTAACTTGTTCACAGCATGTGTTATCTTGTTCCAAATAAAGGTTTCTACTCCATTATTCACCAATGTGAATGTTTTCTGTTTCTAATGATTTATATGTAACATTATAATATTATTAAACCACATAAGATATGAGGATGCCTTATTGTTTACTCTTTATGTCCACAAAAAAATGCAATTCTCGCATTTTGATGAGTCAAACAGTTTGAACTTTGACTGAATTTATATAAAAAAGTATTAACATTTTGTATACAAAAATAAGTACCATAAGATTAGTTATAAGATATATTTTGATAATAATTTTATTGAAGATATAAATGATAAACTATTTACTATAAACTTGGTCAAACTTGAGCTAATTTACCGACATGGGTCCATTAATTGCATTCTTTTGTGGATGGAGGGAGTATTTAGCATGATTTCATTGACTACTTTTTTGAAGGAAATACTATTTTGAATAAGTTCCTCTTCATGCAGTGTTCGAATTGATGATTTTCTGTGGTTTCAGTATAATTCTAACTTTTATGTTTGGCCTTTCTTTAAATCTCATTATTTTTTCTATTCTATTGTGTTTAAATTTTTTTCCCAACGGAAAAATTGAAATATCTCTTGTCAAGCAATACTTTGCTATAAAATCATTTCATCGCATTGTTCACATAAAATAGTCTTTACCATGTTTAAATGTTAATTTTATTGGCAGCCCTAACAATGGCCAATTGTTACCGTGTACATTTAGGAAAACATTGAGTCCCTATGTTTTTAAAGTGTTCTGTGCAGTCAACCAAACAAAACTTGATGACCCTAACAACCCGGTTATGATATATCTCTAAACTCCCTGTGACACCAAACGATCCACTGCTTGATCACACGTCCAAACTCCTGGCTCTAAGACACATTTTGCTTTTCTAATTGATCTTTTTACAGGGAAAAAAAACCTGGTCCTTTTTCGTTGGAAGAAATAAAAAAAAAAGAATAATCATTCTGAGTTGTTATTTAGGTTCTGATACTTGCAAAACTACACATTCGACTACCTAAACTTGTCCTGAATTTAACTTACAACTATTAGGACAAGATGAGAACTCCAGACACGTTTAAAAAAAATAAGTGTTTAATTTGTGAATACTCGAATTTGGATGAGGACTCGGGAAAAGTCTAACAGGCGCTATTAAAAAAAATTAAAGGAGTGCTAGGGGTTCTCAGGAAAAGCGTCGTGAGAACAGCAAAGAAGAGAGAATAGAAACCCCTTTCCCTCCTACTGCACGGGCAAACGCGGGCCAGGGGCAAGAGGCAACCGCGCCCACCCACGTCCGAAAGCGCCCTAGCATGGATCCACCGCTGAGTCGTTGACCCTTGCGACGTAGCACAATTCACAACCACAACCATTCCGTCCGTCGCCGCAGCCGCTCTTGCCACGATCCTACATCGGCGAATGCTCTGGCAGGCAGCACAACAAGTTGGGCTCGACCGCTTTCACTTGCTGGATTGCTACGGTCCTCGATAGCATAGATATTTTTTGTCATTAATATAAAACAAGATGAGAAGCCCTCTCAAGCCTGAACTTCCCGGTGGACTCTGGACTCCTGGCTCTTGTCGAGCTCGACGTGTGGCGCCGGTGTTTGGAGCCGATCGGCAAGTAGTGCTAGCTATAGCAAACGAACAATACGCAGAAAACGTCGGTCCTCGGCGGGCATATTCTGGACTGGAAAGATGGGAAGACGAAAGTTGCTTTGTAGCCGTCGAGAAAGACGTAGCCTACCCGCACAAGATTCGTCGATCACTACGCGTGGACGAGCGGGCCGATTACTTTATTCGGCACGTGAATCCTTCTCGTCCCTCCCGGGCAATCTCTATCCTGCTACGGTCTCTCACTCGAAGCCTGTTTCCTTTTTTGATTTGAGAAATCTGATCGATGGAGAGGGTCGTCGGTCTGAGGCGGAAGGCTCTCGGCCTTCATCGGTTTGATTAATTTAGCCGGCGAGTACGTGGAGCAGGAAGGAACACGTGTGGTCGTGTCGTGCGTGCAGCCGTGAGCGGCCACGAAAGCGACCGAGACGATGGCGCCATCCTCTCGCCATTCTGTGTCGTTCGTCTCGTCCCGGGCGCGGAGGAGGAGCCCGGGAGGACAGGAGACCGGGCCGGGCGGCCCGAGAGCGACGGCGCGGGTCTGCTCGCGTCAGCTTTTAATGATAGTAACCCCCCGAGGCGTGTGGCACGGGGGCAATGCCGTCGGCCGTTGCAGGGCGCGCGCGGCCGGTGGCGGACGGCACCTGTGGACCTCTCCGATCCGCGGACGGGCCGGTGGCGTGCGGCGACCGCGTGCCCGTGCCTGCCGCTCCCGTGCGGTCGCGTCACTCGCTGCCGCGTCTTTTTGGTAAGACAAGATGCGTACGTTCGCGCGAGCGGCCCCGCACGTGTTGTTCGCGGGAACGTGCTGACTCGCCGACCCATCGTGTTGCGCACGGCGCCGCTGTCGGCCACCGGTCGCTTCCTGTTCCGGATCGGAGCAGGAGCACTGCAGCAGTGTGGCACTGGAGCGAGTGCAGCGCCCCTGTTCTCTGGTCCACTCCGCGCGCCATGTCGCTCTCGGAGGATATGAGACCACCGTTCCGGTTTAGCAACGCTTGTTCGCTGGCGAAGAGATGCAGTTTGGGAGTGGGCACCTAGCAGTCACAGCTTCATGTCGTCTTCTATGTCACGATCATGCGAGCAGAGTGGGCCGAGCACCAAATCATGTATCACACGAGCGCAGTGAGCCGAGCAACAAAACGTAATATACGCACCCATCGGCCCATGCTTTAACTACGAGTATTTCATTCAGAAGGATGGGAGGAAAAACAGGAGCAGGAGAATTTCGTCTCCGGCACTCTGCCAGTCATTTGATCCTCATCACAACATGAAGCTTGTGCAAGGACGGACTATGTAGCAAACTAATAAACAGACACTAGCAGCAGTCGGTCCAGTACAGGAACAAACACCTATTACCAGCGTAGCAAACTAAAACACCTAGCTACGACCCGCGAACGCTGTACAATGGCAATGGCATCAGATCAGCGGATCATCCAGTCGTGGTCTAGTCCCAGCTCCCGCTCAGCAGCGGCTTCACGTCGGCCACCTCGCCGAACATCTTCACCAGGTCCGAGCAGCTCGCCGCGGCCTGCTGATTCTCACCCTCGCCGTCCTCCACCTCCACTTCGCCCTCCAGCTGCAGCCCGAGCTCGTCCTCCACGTCGTCCGACGCCGCGATGAGCAGTAGCTGGCACCCCTCGTAGTTGAGCAGGTCCGGCGGGTCCGCCGGCGCGTACCGCCGGCTGCCGAACGCGCCCTGTAGGTGGGCGGGGAACGCCGCCCGGCGCTTGCTCTGCAGCCCGCGGAACCCGCCGCCGTCGCGGCCGCCGGAGGGCGGGTCGGGGTTCTTCACCTGCACGAGGAACGACGCCTCCGGCGCCACGTTCATCGCCTCCTGCGGTTCCCCGGCGCCGCGGGTGCGGAGCTCCAGCTTGTACACGAGGTGGGTGTGCGACTGCGGGCTCCGCCCCCGCCCGCCGGACGTCTCGTGCTTCAGGATGCGGTACACGCCCTCGCCCAACGCCCGCGCCGCCGGCCTGTGCCGCTTACCTCGCGTCGCCGTGCTGTACTCCTCTGCAACGAATATGAAATCTCAAAAAAGATCAGTTTTTTTCTTCTTCTTCCAACCGACAATGTTCGGCGAGACTCAGTTGAGTGCATGCAAGCTGCTCAGCACACCGCATACTGTACCTTCCTTGAGCGCGTCCTTGATGTCCTGGACCTTTGTGGTGACGAGCTCGACGTAACCCCAGTACGGGCGGCTGTGCTTCGCCGGGTCCGGCAGGCTCTTCTTCCCCATCACGACCAGTCGGAGCAACGGCTGCTCTTCGATGTCCACCTCCTGCGCAATCACTTAAAAAGTAATTATGAGTGTTCAATTCATATATGAATATGACGAAATTAAACAATGTAACTTTGGATATATGCATGTGTACCTCCTTGCCGTGGCCGCCTTCCGCGCCTTTCTCCTCGTTTCTTCCCTGGCCACCGTCGCCTTGTTGGTGGCGCTTGCGGCCTTCCTTGCCGGAGTCCGGCGCCTGCTTCTCTTCGACGCCGCGGCCGCCGGTGGACTCAGGGCGCAGGACGATGTACATGCGCTGCACGTCGTCGGGGCTGTGCGCCTCGTTCTTGTCTACCTTGGGGCGGTAGAAGAAGAAGATCTCGCCCTTCTCCTGGATCTCCACCTTGGGGTCTGGTCGCGTCTTCGTCTCCTTGCCTTGCCCCATGGCGGCGGCGATCAGCGGGTGGACAGAGTTTGCAAACGATCGAACGAGTTGCGTGCTCGTGCCAGCGATGGGGACGGAAGCGAAGGTGAGAGGGGCGAGCGGCGAGTAGCGGCGCTGTGACTCGGTGGCAGTAAAAAAGAACGCATGAGGACGCATAGGTGTCATCGGCGACCTTCTGGCTACCTTACACGTGCGCACGTACGTGTCCCCGGCGCCGGCTAGAAGCGTCGAGTGCGGTAGGATATTCGTTACTCTTGTCTACTCCTATATGTTCCACACCTCGCATCTGACGGTCGATAAACGATGGGAGCGGGACACGTGGCGCCGGTGGTGGGCGGTCTATGGCTAACTGTATGCAGTGCTTGGCACGTGTGGACGACGTGCCCATGCAGCACATTTGAGCTAGCATCACGTGACTACGCAAGCACGTGCCAAGACGAGAGGGCCATTCGAGACCAAAAAACAGAGTGACGTGGCTCCCATGATCCCATCGCCGTTCGGCGGCGCCGCCGTCGCGGGCGTGGCCTGTGTGGCGCGACGGCGCGGACGATGGAGCCAGCGCCGTGCTTTGGCAGCGTCAGCGTGCTGTGCCGCTCTGCCGCGTCGCTCGCTGCGCGCTTCGATGCACCTCTTTGAGGGGATCGGGGGTGCTGACTCGCCAGCCGTGGGCCGTACTGTCATGGCGTTCTCGAACATAGGGAAACAGCAATGCAGCATTCAGGCAACGCTGGCGAAGAAATGCTTGATTGAGTGCTGGAACAGGTGAACGGAGTGGGCTGAGTGCCTTATTGGAGAATCTCGATCAGCAATTGCTAGTCTTCGTTTAGTTTATCTTATGCCCTCCTCTCAAATCTTGTATGCCAAGACCCTCGCGGCCTCGCCTGCTGCTGCAGTTCCTCGTAATCTTCACGGCCATGCAACCACATGAATTTCGATCTCTGCTCGTCATTTGGTCGTCAGCACAATATAAGCAGTTCTCTTGTTTCAGCTGTTTCTTTCCCTTTGCGCTGATATGCAGTATTATCAGAGAGAATAACGCGAGCGCCACCACTCTCTCTCCCTGGAACAGTTGAACACTTGAACAGAGTGAGCTGAGTGCCTGATTGGAGATTTTTTTTTTTTGACAGAGGTAAACTTAGCTTTTATAAAACATTTTTCCTATCCATCAGTTGTCTGAAATTTGTGCTTTGTTCAGGCGCCGTGTTGTTCATCAATATCGATTCAAGATGTGTGCGTCTTCAGAGGCGTCTGCTCATCTGATGGCTAGTCACCGTCAGCCATATTTCAGGCACCCGAAATATATCAGGATTCATTCGGAAATGCTACAGTGCAGGCATCCAACGGTATGGACGCCGCGCTTTCTGGGCCTGTGCACTACCAGCCCAATAAGTTTATTTCCCTCTACCTTCATTCTTTCATCATTTCTCAAAATAAAAAAGACGGCGACATTTTCAACTAGCACGATCGCCAGCGCGTTCCCTACCACTCGCCCGCCGCTCGCCTTCTCCAGCGGCGACTACCTCCGCTTCCTCTGCCCCGAGGCCCCCACTCGCCTCTGCGATGTCAGGCTATGCCGCTAGAGTCGCGCCTACCGCCCGCCCCTGCCCTCATCGCTAGAGCCGGCGTCGGCGTCCTTCTCATCACCTTCTCCTACAGCTGGAGATCGCGAGGGCGTCACGGCCGGGCCATACTTTGCGCTCGCATCGAGGCTCCACGCGCCCCGGTGTCCCTAACGGAAGAAGCTCGCGGCAGCCAAGGCCGCGGTGCTCTCGCTCCACCACCTCCCAGCCCCGATGTGCCCATCGAGGCGGTTATCGAGTTCCTCAACGCGCTTGCATGGTGGCCGCTTCCCACTAGAGTGTCGCGCCTGACATGTTGCAAGCATATGTTTGAAGTGTTTTAGATGTTCCATAGATATGTTGCAAGTGTTTCATATGGATATTGCAAAAGTAGACCAGGATGTTGCATATGTTGCAAAGTGTTCCAGATGCATGTTGCAAGCGCTTGTTCAAAATGTATTAGCTATTTCAAACGTATGTTGCAAGCATTTTTATCTGAATGTTGCATATGTTTTACATATATGTTGCAAGAGTATGTTTTGAAATGTTTCAGTTATTCTAGTCTTATGTTGCAATAAGTGTTTTCATGTTGCAAGTTGCAAGTATCTGGATTGCATATGTTTTACAAACATGTTGCAAGTGTATGTTCCAAATGTTTCTTCTTGCTTCAGACGTATGTTGCATTCAAGTGTTTCATATTACAAATATTTTATTTCAGAGGTATGTTCAGAGAGTCGTTGGGGGTATGGCCCCGGACTCGTAGGAAGGGGCGCGGCGAGCCGGGGGCCGGCGGCTAGGGAGCGCGACACGCCTGGGGTCCTACGAACAGCGTGCCCTCGTCCTCGTCCCGGCTCCCGGGTTCCGCCCACGCAGAGAGAAAGAGGGGAGAAGGTCAGGGGGAACGAGCGGCGGGCGAGGCGGACAGGAGCGGGGTACTGTCGATGCGGGACCCACGGGATACCCCGCAAGGAACAGAGAAGATCTAGTCTAACTAGGATTCTTCCTATGTAATCTTAGTAGTAGTATTATTCTATAATCCTACTAGGAACTCTCACTGTAAACCGACTAGGATTCTGGCCTCCTGACTATATAAAGGAGGGCAGGGTTCCTAGGGACGGAACTCCAGACAATCAATCCAACGTAAGACTAACGCCGACTGGACGTAGGGTTATTACTCGATCAACGATCGAGGGCCCGAACCAGGATAAATCGACTGTCTCTTGCGTTCACCGTCGAGTTCCGCATACGCTGAAGCCCGAACATACTGCCCCGGGGACCCCCGTGCCAGGCTATCGGTGGTCAAACATCGACAGCTGGCACGCTAGGTAGGGGCTTTCGACTAATTTGCATCCGAGAGCTCGACGGACCTCGACAACATGAACTTCTCAACGGGATCAACCTTCATCTTTGGCTCATGGATCTGCGAGGTGGACGACAATGGCAAGCTCCAAAGCCATCTCCTCAAAGATTCAAGTCACCATGAAGACCATTCTATTTCGGCGACTACGACAGGTCAACTCACTGGAAGATTCACGTAGCTCGCGATGTCCGATTCAATTCAGGTTTCGTGACTTTGTGCATCCGATTCAAACTCAGGCTCCGCATCCAAAATAGAGTCTTACATGAGTTCTTTCGGGAAACCAAATTCTTTTCCGATGGGGCTTAAGAACGCGGCCTTGGCCTATCAAGAATACAACTCGGAGTACACTCAGAATCTTTCCAAGAAGTCGAGTCATTTTTCGTTCGGACTCCACAACATGGCGACATCTTATCAGACATGGCCCGAAGGATTCCTCGATCCGGTGCTTAGAATGCCACTAAAAGGAGCTCAGGAAGGTCTGGTACTGACTATAACATCTCAAGATGGCATCGTCCACTGGCCGGGTTCTGTTCCTGAGGATAGCGGTACCCGACTAGTTGACACGACGATGACAGCAATTCTACCCTACCAAGAAGGAGACTCGATCTGCGACCTCAAAGCCTCTACTAAAGTTATCAGCTACTCCGATAGTGTGGAAAGCGACGTTGATAGCAGAACAATTCACGCACGAGAAGTATTCATGGTTCGCCGCCCTCGATCACCATTGGTCCCCCCAGAAGCGCCCGACGTCAGGTCATCAGATGAATCTGAGTCCAACATATCACCCTTTATCCAGGGGCACGATGGTGAGACCGAGAACCAAAAGCAAGCCAGAGAAAGAAAAACAAGTTGAAAACAAGGACGTCAACACCATGCTAGGCAGCGCAAAGAAGCTTGGATCAGATATGAGTCAGATCTAACTGAGTACAATAGAAGAAAATCAAAACGAGAAGTCGAAGAAAGACACACGGTGAATACACCCTATGATAAGATCCGAGAAGCACTAGAAGAACTTAGAGCGACCTCACATCCCAGTGAAAGACAAGAACAGCTCCGAGACTTCATCCGGTCAACAGTCCTAAGGACGCACGACAGAAGGACCCACTCAAGACTACCTACCAGATCAACATCTCATGAGCAGGGAGATCAAAATCAAAGGAAGTCCGCTTTTGAGATACTTGGACCAAGTGGAAGTCACAACAGAGAAAGTAGAAGGAATCATAGTCAAAACGACCGAGTCGAACAACCAAGAAAGGTCAGAAGCAGAGCACCTATTTAGACAGCCACATAGAACTACTCCCACCAAAACAACAGTTGGCAAAAAGGGGGCGCAGAATCAGAATACACAGAAGCCAGGACGCACGATAGATTCCCCTATTTTACAAACAGACTTGCTTCAATACGACTACCTCACAAGTTCAAGCCGTCCAACCACTCTAAGTATGATGGCAAGACCGAACCAAGGTAGTGGCTCAGGATTTACTCGCAATCAATTGAACTGACCGAAGGAGACGATGATATCAAGACTATGTTCTTTCCCATGGCCCTAGCAACCATGCCCCTTCAATGGTTCGACAAATTGAATCCAGGATCAATCAGAAATTGGGAGGACTTGCAAAAAGCTTTCTACGAAAATTTCACGGGTATCATTACACACCCAATCACCCACGCAGAGTTAAAAGAACTCAAACAGAAAGGAGGTGAAAGTCTTAGAAACTACTATCGATGATTTGGCGAACTACGAGCTCAAGTACATGACATCACCGAACGAGAAGTAATCGAGGCTTTCTCTCACGGAATCATGGCTAGGTGGCAATTTCAAGACTTCTGCAAAGAAAACCCAAGAAACAATGAAGAATTCAGACGAACAGTAGAAAAGATGATTACTGCAGATGAGAAGACACGAGAAAGGTTCCCGGATAGAAACAACCGAGATAACCCGGACAAGCAAAATCATCGAAACAACAGACATCAGGAAAGAAAACGTGGACCAGACAACACAGTAGTGATGGCTGACAAATCAAAGAAGTTTTCAAAACCCAGAAGGTATGACGACATTGAAAACATGCATTGCATCTTGC